ATTGGTATATTTTAGTTATTTTCATAGTGTAATGACGTATGGTATATTGTTATGGGGTTCTGCGGCTAGCATTCAGGATGTTTTTATTTTACAAAAGAGAGCTGTCCGTGCTATATATAATTTACGGTCTAGGGAATGTCTAAGAGAAATATTTAAAGAAATAAATATTCTGACTGTTGCCTCTCAATACATCTATGAGAATATTATGTATACAAGAAAACATTACGATTCCTTCACAAAAAAAAGTAGTGTTCATAATCTTAACACAAGAAATAAAGATAAACTTGCCGTTCCAAGCTTCAGACTTCAAAAAACCAGAGGATCATTTCTGGGTAAATGTATTGCTATGTTCAATAATGTTCCACAAAATGTAATTGACCTACCCATAAATAAATTTCAAATTCATGTAAAGAATATACTTGTGAGTAAAGGCTATTATAAAGTTGATGATTATTTTAAGGATCGCAATGCATGGAATTAATAGCCTTCGCTTTGTTCTATAAAGACTAATTATATGTTCAACTTATGTCCTACAGACTTTGAAAGTTGTATTTACTATTGTGATAAATTGATAATACATATTATTTTGGTAATGACATGATTTATGTAAATGTCATTACTTATGATAAAAAGCTGATAAGTTTCTTTCGCTTGTTCTTCTTGTCAGCTAAAAGACGTCCTGAACAAGTGGTAGGGGAAAAAAGTTTTTTGGACGATTCAAAAGTGCTTGTAATAGCCTACTTGAATAAAGATATTTTCATTTCATTTTCATTTCATTAATCTGCCGCGCTTTAGTAAATTCCGAAATCCCCGCTTCGGCTCCCCTACTAATAGTATAAAAAAGGCACAATACCATAATTATTACTTTGAGATAAAGGAAACTGCCAGCAGATCAATAAAAACACCAGAGTGTTTTTGACCCCAAATCACCCAATAAATTTATAGTTTTTCATCAACATATTCTGGGAATAATATTAAAAAAATCATCTTAGTGATCACACTATTGAAGATTATTTATAAGTTTAATGATGTTCTCTGCTTCACTGAGACTTTTGTAAAAAACGGGGACGAAAAAATAAATATAAACATGATAACTATGAATTAGCATCTCATTATTCTAGGAACAAAAGTAGTAGGGAATAATTTATAAAAAAATATCTACATTTGATAATTACTTCACTAAGTTTCATTTCGAGGCGTGTTCAATAAGTATACCTATACTAAACCTACTAATTGTTTGTGTATACAGATCATCAACTGCAACGAAAAAGAGACACTTTAAATACTTTATTGGTAAATTGAAATTATTACTAAATACCAGGGATGTAACTGATATATGTTAATTCGGTTACAGTTACGGATAAACATATATTTGAGAATTGTTATATCGGTTTCGGTTATGGATATGATATCTTTTCCGTTATGGATATTAGATTAAGGTACTGAAGCGTTTAAATTTTTCACATAAATAGAGCACGTATTAGTAAATACTTAATTTTACGCCACAAATAAGACAAAGGATATACATCAAATAGAAATTTGAGTGTATTGGTTTATTGGTATTGTAATAAAAAGCGAATGAAAGTTTTAAATTAAAAAATGTATATATTGTTTTCTTTTAAAGTAATGTTGGTCGGATTCAAAGTTGAATTGCTTTCTGTGCTTGTCGTTACAATTCGATACAAAGCTTTGGAAAAAGGTGTCAATAAACACGTTGCTACTTATGACCATCCTACTGTATTTAGCCCATATATCTACAGTTAATTTACTACAAATTATAATATTATACTTAAACACCATACATAACCAACGGAACCATTTGTGCACAGCCCTGCGATTCTGTAAAAATCCAAACCCGAATTCGAATATACTCAGGTGTCTAAAATTAATAAAATTAACTTAATAAAATACCAGTGTGAGATTTTTTTGGTGATTCAGTATCAGTAATAGAACACTTTTCATAATTTCTTTATTTTTTTAAAATATATTTATCCCTATTTAAACAATGGAGTAAGGACACACTAAAAAAACGAATTTAAAAAATACATGGAAAAAAAAGAAACACACAATTGAAATAGTTTTATAATCGATACACACATAAAACAAATCATAAATTCTAATGCAGAACCGAACGACTCATAGTCGGGGCCCGTTAAAATTTTACCAATCAAATCTTCCCGAGGCCAACGCCATATATCGAGCTTAGTGGTAAACTTTTTTTTACCTGACTGCGCGACTCAAAGGAGGGTAATGTGTTTATCAGTCTATGTATGTATGTTTATTTCTGTGTGGTGTTCTAGAGACCGAATGCGTAGGCCGATTTTGATGATTCTTACGTCAATCGACTAATCTTGAGCTTGCGAGTATCACACGTACCGAAGAATAGCAAATGGGTGGGAAAAATACTGGTTACTAAAAAAATATTAAAAAACAAGGGGTCGAGTGGGAGGCTAAAAATGAAAACCTTCAACACTAAATATTTGCAGTTACTTATGGGTGTGAAAACTAGTCACTCACCAAAACCCACAGAGAAAAGCTGGAAAGGTGTCAAAAAAGCCACAGAGAGATGCTTGATAGGAATAAAGACACAAGACAGGTTGAGAAGCAGCTTAATAAGATAAAACTAAATTAACAGTTATACATACTTGAATAGACCAACAAAAATGTAGATGGACAGGATACACGATTCGAGATAAACAGGAAAAGCAGAGTAAAATTGTATCAGAATGGAATCCAAGAGATGGGAAACGGAACAGAGGGCGTCAACATATGAGATGGGAAGATGATCTAAAATTCACAGCTGGATACCTTTGGAGAAGGGTAGCGTAACTAAGTGAGGCATAAATATTATTAAAAAGAACCATACCAACAAACACAAATATCAAGAATATCCTAGAATACTTAAATAATGCATTTTCCAAACAAAAAAATATGAATAAGAAGATTTTTTAAAAGTAAAAATATATCAAAAGCCACATGGAAAGTTATACAAACCGAAATTGATAGAACGCATCAGAATAATTATATTGGAAAAATTGAATTTAATAGTAATATTATTTACGATCCTTCGAATATTTTATAATCTTTAGTAATTATTTTATAAATGTAACAATTAATTTCGATAATAATAATGATGACAATAATGAAACAATGAAATACTCAATTGAACTATTAAATAAATCGATTTTTCTTACACCCATTCACTAAGTTATAATAACATTAATAATACAACATCTTAAGGCTATGATAATATATGTAGATAAGCGATTAAAATATGTAAAGAAGAAATTAGCCTTTCTTTATTATTTTTTATATGTTTTTCAATGGAAACAGGTCTATTTCCTAATAAATTAAAACTCCATTGTTAAACCTTTGCATGAGAAAGTCGATAAGATTATTTTAAAAAAGTTATCGCCCAATTACACTGATACCAATTTTATCAAAGATATACGAAAATTTATACATAACAAATTTACATCATTTTTTAAATAAATATAAAAATAGTCAACTTGGCTTTCAAAAATAAGTCTACTACGTTCGCGGTTTTTGACATAATTACGAAATATTACAAAGCATTAATAAAAGCAAATATACAATAGCTTATTTCTTTGATGTCTCAAAGGCGTTCGATTTCATTTCTCATGATCAACTATTAAAAAATATATAACAGTGGTACCAGAGGTGTAGCATTAAATTAGATCAAAAGGTATCTACAAAATAGAATGCAATCTATTGAAATAACTCAATTCGATTCAAAGGTAGTAACTCAAAAGTATCAATCACAATTAAAAGTAAAAAACATTGGAGTTACACAAGGCAGTGTTCTTGGTCCTCTTTTATTTTTGGTGTATATTAACGACCTACCAAATATAACACATAGAAGTATTTTATTTGCTGATCATATATCAGTGGTATTGAAGACTAATAATAATTTGAAGATTTCTGACTACAGAAATGGCATAAATAATACAATAATGAACATAGTAAACTTGCTTAAATTCCATAATCTAACAATAAATATAGACTAATAAACATTAATACAATTATCAAAAATAGCTACAAGTATGGCTCTCACAGCATACTTCGCTTATGTGGAGTCAATAGGCGTTATGCTATTATTATTGCTATTATTATGCAGAAAAAATGCATAAGATCAATTTGTGGCATTGCTCCCGATGTCTCACGTAAGCAATGATTTAAATTTCTCGGTATTCTACCTCTCCCTTACTTATATACAACGTGTAACATAATTAACGCACAACCTGAAAGTAGTTTGTTTAAAATCAGATACTGATTCGTACACGTTGTATATTTGAAGCATCGAAATTTGCCAAACGATACCCTGATTATTACAAAAAAGCTCATGAAATGTATCCCAGAAACACTAGAAATAAAAATAGGCTAGTTCTTCATATAGTCCCAAAAACCGCATGATTTAAAAATAACTGCTACTGTATGTGACAAACAATATTTAGTAAGATACCGGAATCTATGAAGATTACACATCTTACTAGATTCAAGGAAGAATTATATAAGACTTCTGGCGTTCCTTTTATTCTGTTCATGAATTCTGAGACCATGGAAACTGAACGTTAGCTTGGAGTAGATTGATCTGTGCTTATAGTGGCTTCCTTTACTACATTTGCATGCCATTGTTAATAGCTCAATAGGCGATAATTGTATTACTTCCATCGTTTTTGTTTACCTTATTCAAACGCAAATAAATTATTATATATCTGTGTCTATTATGGTAAATTTGCCCACATAAGTGTGTGCATTAAAAAAAATTAAATATTGAGGTCTAAAAATAGATGTCGATTTAAGTTTTAAAATAAATGTTGAATATAGTTTATAAAATAAATATTTACGATTTGAAGTTTAATAGCTTTATTTTATTTCAATTTCTTTGACTTCTAAATCTCATATAAAAAGTTTTGTCTTTTAGATCTATATGTAGTGTATAAATACATATAATAACCATTAATGTGTTATCGTTTCAGATCACAAACTTTCAATAATGGTTTTGATTCATTACCAAAAATGGAATTTGATGATTTTCCAGAGGATGATGATGATGATAATAGTTCTAATTATATTCCTGAGGAGGAAACACCTAAACCTAAGAAAAATAGAGTAGGTAGACCATTAAAATCTAAAAACAGTCCAGTACAAAAGAAAACTAAAAAGAGGGAAAGAGTTATCCACAAGTGTGACCAGTGCGATGCCAAGTATTCCTCATTAGGTAAGCAATATGATCATTATCGTCAATATTTGAAAATACTCTCCCTCATAGATAAAATAACTTCATTATTAACAAGATCCATGGCCGGGGTCATGGTCCCTTCAAGAGAAAATGTCCAGTTACGCCAATATATGAAAATAGAAAGAAAAAAATAAAGTATTAATTTAATAACTATGGGAAAAATGCATGTTCATATGGTGGTTACTCAATGTAATCAGTTTGACACAAATTATGTATAATATATTGTCATGTTATCTAACTATGTCGGCTAGATGTGATCTAATTTAAAAGAGAGTAATGTAAATCGTCAGCTCGGCTAGAGCAGCATAAGCTGAAGCACGACGGGTCGAAGCCGCCGTACATCTGTGAAGTGTGCGGGGCCCACTACAAGCACAAGCGAGCCTGCGACATACACATCGCGCTACATAAAGGTCAGTCGTTTTTTGGGAACTCACGTTAACAGGTAACGGTCGGCGCGATCGCTGTAATTTCTTTCCTTTCCCATATCGCAAAAGATAAGTTTCGAGAGTTCCCGATTGAATTTTTATAATTTTTCTTTTTAGGCATCAGCGATTGGAAATGTGAAGAGTGCAACAAACTGTTTCCTTCGAAGGGAGCCCTAGCCAGGCACAACAATATTCACACCGGAAAACTCAACTACCAGGTGAGCAGATCGGTTTCTAGGGCTCGGGACCCAAAGGGAAAAACGGGAATCCCATCGCTGAGATCTCGCCGGTCGTTCGATATCGAGATTCTCGCTCGACATCGACAACGACAACGGGCGGACGGGGACTTTAAAAGTAAAGAATGAAATAAAAATCGAACAAACATCTAAGGGTAGACGGGCGAAAGGAATAAATAAATCGCAGCGGGCGCGGGCGTGTGTTGCAGTGCGACCTGTGCGGCAAGTCGTTCATCCACACGTCGTCGTTCAAGATGCACAAGCTGTCGCACTCGGGCCTGAAGCCGCACGCCTGCGACGTGTGCGGCCTCGCGCTCATGACGCGCTCCCACCTCAAGCGGCACAAGCGCGTGCACTCCGGCGAGAAGCGCCACGAGTGCGGCGTCTGCGGGAAGCGCTTCTCCGAGAGGTGATACATGTTCGTGTGCTACGTGCGCTACGAGCGCTACGCGTGCTACATGCGCTAAACTTTGCTCGGCGCAGGTACAACCTGGCGGCGCACAGCAAGTCGCACGAGAGCGCCGCCGCCGCCGCCGCGCCGCCGCCGCCGCGCCGCCACCTGTTCCGCTGCCCCTTCTGCCCCGACCGGTTCGAGAGGAGGTCAGTGCTCGTTCTGTGATTTCTCTGTATCGAAACAAATACATACGTGACATTAGTCGCAGTAGACTGATTCCCGAATTAAACGGTCGGCGAGCACTATTATATGGTACATCGTTCACAACTTTAAATAAATATTTTGATTTATAGTTTAGTAGTATTTCAGTAGAAAGTTACTGTTCACTTGTAAAATAATAGTGACTAGTAGGTTATTTTTTTTTCTTTTCTTTTTTATGCATAGTCATAGTTAATAGTTTAAATACTTAACATGTCCCTCGTTTTGCCTGACGTGCAGATCACCTCATCACATGATGTTATTTTTTCCTATATGTATATGTCTATACTCCATTCATTATTACGTTAGAAAAAAAAGGGTCACAGAAGCAGCAGTACAGAAGATTTTATTTTCAAGAAAAAAAATATATATATATAACGGCGGGTAGTCATAAGGGCCTATTACGAAGCCCAAATAGACCGTCCATATCAGAGGACTATCTTTAAAATAACACTGCAGGCGTGGTATACCAACGTGGATTTGTTCCATTTTATCACTTTTCATACGAAAATATAACGAGATGAGCGTGATGTCGTCGAATGTCTTTACTCCTCGGCGATCGGAAACAGAATGTGTGCCAAAATGCGGCAATTTGCTTTTATTAACGAACTGTCAAAGTCAGTGTCACCATTCTAATAAAATTAAAAGTATCGATGATCACGCTCTCTTTAAAATCGAGTAATTAAGTAAGTAAGTCGAGTAACTAGCAATTAAAATAAAAGAAACTAAATCAAACGATCTTCGTAATGATGATGCGACATATATATATATATATATAGTTTTGATGAAAATTATTATATAATAATTATAATTAGTAATATCTATGCCCAGCAAAGAAAGGTAAACAAAATACAATATAATTATTATTAAAGCTGTAGGTATACAGGCCGGGACTCTTAATTTGTTTGTATATATTAATTAACATTTGATTTTCTGTAGAATTCAGCGTATTTTGCTTCATTCTCTTCTACTTAGGAGACATTGTTATACTTTCATGGTCAACTTTGGGGCCACGTTTTGGTCGCCGTAGGCTTTGATCAGCCCTAAAGCATAAATGTTGTAGGTCACTTGGGCTTGCACCAGCATCGTCCGCATTTAACAAAACTTAACAACAAAAAGATAACAACTGTAACAATACAACTTACTTACAATAATAACTTAATCACGGAAAACGACAAAACAACAAGAAAGGCAGTAGCATTCACAGCGAATGACAATCCCAGATTACGTATTTTGACAATTATGAATACATTATAATCTGACATAATTAAAAAAGGTGTACTGCCGAAACGTTTGAAGGGATTAGGCAACGTTTTAAAATTTGGTAGAGTTATAGTGACATGAGAATCGTGCCGAAACTATCCAACCCTGCTTTTTTAGGTTCTTTAAGATGAACACTTTTTATTGTAATAGTTACTAAATTATTTAAGTTAGTCAAATACTCATAAATTTGTTTAATATATAGCTTAAACGACAACAGTTAAATATAGCAGCAGGTATTTAAGTGGATATGTAGCAAATTAGCCGTCAGTCTTAAGAGTAATATAATTATTGATATTATATCACAAAGTATACCATAAAAAGAACCTTATTTTCATTCTGTCTAATGCTATAATGAATGGAGTATAGCTTTAAACATATCATAAATGTTGTTTACAATATATTTACAGCTAGTAATATATTTAAATCCAAAGAATAAAAAATGTTTGCAAGTCGACGTGAGACATAATCAAATATAACTTTATAAACAAAGAAAATAAAAAGGACATCACAGAAATTAAACTTATAACAATTCATATATTAATAACCCGTTACAAATAATGAATTTATTGACATATGCAACACGCATTATACCAATCTGTTCAAATAGTATCTACCTGACACCAGTTAATGAAAATGATATTTACAAGATAATAAAACATCACACTCAACTGGCATCAATGAATTATGTACGGATATTTTTTTAAAAGTGCCAGTTTTATTGTTCATCCACTAACTCGCATTATAAATTCTGTTTTTTATGCAGGGTCGATAAATTTGTTTATTATTCAGAAAACGCATCATTAATTAAACCGTTACATAAAAAAGACCCTTCAATGAACTGAGTAATTATTACCTTTAACACTTATTTCAATTTTCTCAAAAGTATTTGAAAAAGTGATGTTCGACAAAGTTTACGCTTTTATCTCATTTCAAGATATATTAAAAGATGAACAGTTTGGATTTCGAAAAAACAGAAGTACGGCTCTGGCATGTTTTAACCTCATAAAACATGTTACGCATAATCTCGATTTTAAAACTAAATACTTTGGTAATATTCCTGGACATGAGCACAGCATTTGATTTTGTTTCACACAAGTTGCTCCTACACATATTAGATAGATATGGAATAAGGGGCAATGCCTTGGAATGGATAAAAGTTACTTAAGTAACCACACACAGTGTGTTGAAATAACAAAGATACAAGGTAATTTAAAAAAATCTTATACATCTAAATATACACCAAATCGTTGTGGCGTACCCCAGGGTAGTATACTTGGACCACTTTTATTTTTACTATATATCAATGATTTGCCTAGTGTTACTGACCAAAAGTGTATCCTATTTGCAGATGACACAACACTTGTTATCAGAGGTAAGGATTGTGATGATATTGAACGAGTAGCTAACAGTGAATTCAGAAAAGTTCCACAATGGCTGCAGAAAAATAACCCAAAAATTTACATTAATAAAACAAAATATTTAAAATTTAAAACTACAAATTCTAAAACTAGAACAATAGATATAAAGCATAATGATAACAAACTATGAGAAGTAGGTGAAACAAATTTCGTAGGGATCACGATAGACAGATTTTGTTTTGGAAGGAAGGACGAATTGGAAGGCACATATATTCATAATTACTGCCAAATTGAACAGATTTATATTTGCTCTTAATAGAATTAGACAAGTGGCCTCTAAACAATCCGTTTTAATAGCATATCATAGTTACGTTTCGGTATGATATAGTGATATGGGGTAATTCGGTGGATGCAATTCGTGCTCTTAAAATACAAAAGAAATGCATAGGGTCAGTCTACTTAGACTCATGTAAACCTTTGTTTTAATCATTAAATTTATTACCACTTCCGTGTTTACATATTTTTGAAATAGGGATATTTGTTAAAAAACATTTCCAATAAAAATTTTGCACATAGTGTAACGAATTTCTCCTCTATTCATATTAATTTAGAGACGGTCACATATACATAAAAGAGCTGTTAGATAATAAAAAAATATTTTTCAATGCTGGTACAAAAGGAATATATAAAAAGATTTAATTAATGCAATATTTTTTTATGCCGTACTTACGTCTAAACCTAACCTAAATGGGGCGACTTTGGCGTCGCTGCCGTACAATAACCGTGAAGACAGAGGTTCGATTTGCCTCTATTTTCATTTTGTGCGTGAAAGAGTATTGTTCCGGAGCGCAGACGCCATCCTAGATGGTTTTCTGTGTCATTTGGATCGCGCTTACACCGTCGAAACTACGTGTATTAAGATATAGGCAAACGGCGTGCAAGAAAGGGACGGATCAGCCGTTCTAGTAATTTTTGGTAATGCCTCGAATTCACCGGGAGGTCCGCGATCGATCTAGAATATTCAAGGTCCTAACCTAGAACTGTGCCGTTGTTGACGAGCTCGACTTCCCGAATCAACGCACCGAAGTGTCGTAACGTGACTGACATTCGAGTCGATGACATGACAATCACATCGATGTCAATGATGCTAACATCAATGTCCTGGCACTCCCGGACAGGTTTCCGACACATATTTCGACATGACCGAAAGTCACATTAGTGTTACGCACGAGATTCACTTCGATTATTCCGACATCGACTTCAACATCACCGACACACGTCGACGTCGCGACACCGTCGACATCACCGACGCACTTCGATGTCACGACACTCCCAGCGACGTCGCGACACTCACGTGGACACCGATTATGTTCATATCGATGTCACGACACCGACATCGAAGTCGCAGCACTGACACCGATATGACGGATATTCATTCATAATTAATTCTCTTTATAATCACACGACTGTACGGCTCCATTTTCCGTCAACAGATTTTATTTGAGAATATTTTGAGATGCAGGAAATTCCATTTGGCCATCGTTGATATTTTTTGTATTATCGATTCCGGCACTTTCTAGTGTGTCGCACGTATAAATGAGTCCACACGCATGACAACGCGTATGGTCGGTGCCCGCAGATACATGCTGGAGCGGCACACGTCGGTGGTGCACGGGCGCGCGCTGGAGCGGCCGCCGCCCACGCCCCGCAACACCATGAGCAAGCTGCTCAAGGCGCAGGCCGCGCGCCGCCCCCCACCCGACGGTCAGTACCGCGCCCCTCCCCCGCCTCCCCCACCTCCCCCACGCCCCGCAACACCATGAGCGAGCTGCTCAAGGCGCAGGCCGCGCGCCGCCCCCCACCCGACGGTCAGTACCGCGCCCCTCCCCCGCCTCCCCCACCTCCCCCACGCCCCGCAACACCATGAGCGAGCTGCTCAAGGCGCAGGCCGCGCGCCGCCCCCCACCCGACGGTCAGTACCGCGCCCCTCCCCCGCCTCCCCCACCTCCCCCACGCCCCGCAACACCATGAGCGAGCTGCTCAAGGCGCAGGCCGCGCGCCGCCCCCCACCCGACGGTCAGTACCGCGCCACTCCCCCGCCTCCCCCACCTCCCCCACGCCCCGCAACACCATGAGCGAGCTGCTCAAGGCGCAGGCCGCGCGCCGCCCCCCACCCGACGGTCAGTACCGCGCCCCTCCCCCGCCTCCCCCACCTCCCCCACGCCCCGCAACACCATGAGCGAGCTGCTCAAGGCGCAGGCCGCGCGCCGCCCCCCACCCGACGGTCAGTACCGCGCCACTCCCCCCGCCTCCCCCACCTCCCCCACGCCCCGCAACACCATGAGCGAGCTGCTCAAGGCGCAGGCCGCGCGCCGCCCCCCACCCGACGGTCAGTACCGCGCCACTCCCCCGCCTCCCCCACCTCCCCCACGCCCCGCAACACCATGAGCGAGCTGCTCAAGGCGCAGGCCGCGCGCCGCCCCCCACCCGACGGTCAGTACCGCGCCCCTCCCCCGCCTCCCCCGCCTCCCCCACGCCCCGCAACACCATGAGCGAGCTGCTCAAGGCGCAGGCCGCGCGCCGCCCCCCACCCGACGGTCAGTACCGCGCCCCTCCCCCGCCTCCCCCGCCTCCCCCACGCCCCGCAACACCATGAGCGAGCTGCTCAAGGCGCAGGCCGCGCGCCGCCCCCCACCCGACGGTCAGTACCGCGCCACTCCCCCGCCTCCCCCACCTCCCCCACGCCCCGCAACACCATGAGCGAGCTGCTCAAGGCGCAGGCCGCGCGCCGCCCCCCACCCGACGGTCAGTACCGCGCCACTCCCCCGCCTCCCCCACCTCCCCCACGCCCCGCAACACCATGAGCGAGCTGCTCAAGGCACTCCCCACGTTCCTCATGAGCAAGCTCAAGCTTATTTGTATAAAAATACAGTCTCATTTTTTGAGCATTTGCTTACTCATTCTCATAAAGTAATATGTATCATCTCGAGTGCAATAAAGGATAATATTATTAATAATTGTTTTGTTTTTTTTATCAGAATCTGACAATAAAGACGATCGTAGTTCAGACTCTCGCTCGACGCCCGTCACCACGCCGCAGAAACTCATCGCCCAGTTGTGTAAGTTAACCCTTCCATCGTATGGGTGCCGATGATATTTGAAATACACTCCCTGCGAGTTAGTAACTGAATTTGATTAAATCGTGATTGCAAACTCAGTTGAGACAGCATCATATTCCTATGCTTTACTTCTCCCCGACCTAAAGAACGAAGTTGCGGGTAAAAGCCAGTTATAATTTAATATTCTTTCAAGTCGAAGTTTCAAGCAAGATATGGAAACGGAATCAAATTTTATAATGTAAAAACTGGGTATAATCGAACACGTACGTAAGATTATTTTCAAACACCGACCACCTATATAATAAGCGGCAACGTGCGATCCTCTTGTCCAACCACGACTCGATATTTTGAATATTGTAATTACTTAATAAAACGCAAACCGTCACTTAACACCACCAATCAAATAGTTCATTTGACTAGTTATCGCTTCGAATTTCGCTTTTGAACTTCCAAATTAATGCAGTTTTGACTGCGGAAGTTAATTTTATTTAAATAAACAAATTCCATCGAATCATGTAATTTTCGTCATATAACGAACTCTACCAATTACATTCTATGACATTCATCGGACACAAGGCGGGGTGGGTGGAAGATAATTATTCGAGCGATAAATTAAATGTTTATACGGTGTGTGAGCAAAATGTAACAAATGATCGAGAGGAATAGAGTGAGCATCGATATTAGTTAATTATCTAGACTGGAAAACTAACCCCGGAGGTGGTCGCAATGAATTATAAGAAGATTGGAAGCGACGGAACTCTCGCATGCGTTCTACCGGCAATCAAAGAGACATCTGTGGCCTAATTGTCTAAAAAAACCTTTCACAGATCACTTAGAATTTGACATTTGAAAGAGATTTGCGATTGCGATATTTTTTTGAAAGAAATTGAATGAACGATAACGTTCATTAGACGTAAATCGGAATTGTCTAAGCAAATTGAAAGTAACAAATAGGTACTTTTAATAGCTAATGGGTATTGTCAAATGAAAGCCTTGAATACTAATTGGAATCTTTCGATATTTTGTGTACGTTTTTTAAAGTTTTGCTAAGGATATACTTTATATATATTTAAGGCCCAATAACGCTCATAGTTATAATTCTAGAAAAAACATAATCTCTCGTAACGGTGAAAAAATACTAAGAATACTTACTTGATTGCTTTTGTATTTATAACTATGTATTTCATAAAATGGTTATTTTTTAACTCCCATAAAATTTGCAAAGGAGAATGTTTTTTTTTGGCACACACTATTCCGAAAAAATCTAACCACTATAAAGAAAATTATTTTAGCATCTAGACTCAATTCTTTAATTTTCATCAAAGTTTCAGGACTGAAAGTTCCCTCGTTTTAGTTAAAAAAATGGTACGGTTTGCCTAGAAACACTAGTACGCACAGTCATAAAACTCATAAAAATATAAAGTGCAGAAATATTTTTTAAAATATTTTTTATCCAGTAAAAGCCTGTTTATTAGTCAACTTTACCGACACAAAATACCTGATTTGTTGTTAATTCGTCACTTTCAGGCATCCTAAATTTACCTGTTTTGTTTATTACCCCAAAGCACCTTATAATAATTTAGCATCTATACATAGTAGACGAATCATATATCAATATTGTGAAAATCGAATTCATAATTTGTTTGCTATGTGTTTATTAGAATAAGCCACGCACTGAATAGACTCAAACCGGGCCTTATCTGCGTTAACGAGCTTCGATTCATTTAAAATATCTCTGTATTTGAGATTAAGATTTCTGAAATAACAATGATGTGTAACAAATAAAAATATAAATTCCAAATTGTCCAATAGATTGATTCACAGCATGAATTGGAACGTAACTTAGAGATGGGGTTGCCATAGATTTTCTTAATGTATTTATGTGTTGCTACATAAATTATAAAATATCCACCAAATGATGTTCAAATCATAAAATAAACATTTTGGTGGCGCCGAAAAATAAATTAAAAAGGTGATGAGTAAGGTTTATTTGTCCTCTATATATACTTTATGCTTGGTTAGAGATAATTTGAATTTTTATTCAAATTACCAGCCTCCATACAAAAAAGTTCTCCTTTCACTAAGGTGACTATTACACGATGTAAAAAAATTCCTCCATTATTAGGAATTTTTTATTCAGACCTCTACATTCATTTTATATTATTCATTTTTTATTTTTTATTCAGTTCAATTTTTTATTCAGACCTCTACATTCATTTTATATTAATCATTTATTCATTTTATATTCAGACCTCTACATAGGTACAATAAAAAAAAGAAATATATATCTCAAACTTAAAATGAAATGCCAAGTTTACCTAACTTTTCTGACAGACGATGCACAGCTGATGACATGACGAGCTTCGGGATTCAACGGTGCCACGTAGGAATCGATACTTTTACTCGATACCTACTCGTATCGAAAAATTTTAAATGCCTCACCATCGTCGTAATTTTTATGGATTATTAGATAAGATTGGTTGCTGTTGATAGTCGAAAGCTATATCTGTATATTGAAGAAAGAGACGTAGGTCTAGACATAAAAAGCGATGCATATGGAAAGTGTTTAGTATGTATTTAGTTAGGTATTGTTTCAAAATTTTGTTGGCAGCGGCCCCTCTATACAGATCTCTAACTGCATAAAATTAGTAGGGGATAGAATGATTAGTCAAACAGGGACGCTGCGTCTGCGCGACATTTTCATAAGATTGACTTAAGTCACCTTAACACGTCACAACACATGAGTTGACATAAGAAAACGCGCTTGGTGCGTTTTGTTAGTTCGATAGGACGATGGTTTTGTTGGTTTTTTGTTAATATAAAATTTTGTGTTTGTCAAAAGTATGAAATGATTTAACATTCTATTATTTTATTTGTATGAATAATTTTTTTTTATCCTTTAGTCGAAATAAGAGAATTAATTACAATCGTATGAAATCGTATAATTAGTGATAGATTAAAAAATTAGACAATTAGGCCACTGAAGGCTCATTCTACTTTAGAACAAAACACAAAAAAAAAATTATACATTTAAAGATAAGATATGGGACCAATCTTTCGATAATTTATGATCACGATGCAACGGAGGGAGGACAGAAATCTTCACAATATAATTGTTATAAAATCACTAGACTGATTTGAAATTTTCCTTAGGCCTGATGTTAATTCGTAGGAGTAATGTGTTTGTGTGTGTGTGTGTGTGCAGCGGCGGCCGGCGCGGGCCTCGGCGCCGCCACCTCCTGGTCCAGCGCCTACACCGAGTTCAACCTGCGCGCCGACTTCCCCCACTAGCCCCCCCTCCCCCCCTCCCCACAGCGCCTACACCGAGTTCAACCTGCGCGCCGACTTCCCCCACTAGCCCCCCTCCCCCCCTCCCCACAGCGCCTACACCGAGTTCAACCTGCGCGCCGACTTCCCCCACTAGCCCCCCCGCCCCCCCTCCCCACAGCGCCTACACCGAGTTCAACCTGCGCGCCGACTTCCCCCACTAGCCCACCCCTCCCCCCCTCCCCACAGCGCCTACACCGAGTCCAACCTGCGCGCCGACTTCCCCCACTAGCCCCCCCTCCCCCCCTCCCCACAGCGCCTACACCGAGTTCAAACTGCGCGCTGACTTCCCCCACTAGCCCCCCCTCCCCCCCTCCCCACAGCGCCTACACCGAGTTCAACCTGCGCGCCGACTTCCCCCACTAGCCCCCCCGCCCCCCTCCCCACAGCGCCTACACCGAGTTCAACCTGCGCGCCGACTTCCCCCACTAGCCCCCCCTCCCCCCCTCCCCACAGCGCCTACACCGAGTTCAACCTGCGCGCCGACTTCCCCCACTAGCCCCCCCCGCCCCCCCCCTCCCCACAGCGCCTACACCGAGTTCAACCTGCGCGCCGACTTCCCCCACTAGCCCCCCCCCCTCCCCACAGCGCCTACACCGAGTTCAACCTGCGCGCCGACTTCCCCCACTAGCCCCCCCTCCCCCTTCTTCGGAAATTCACAAAACTGTAAATTATAAATTAGTGTATCGAATGGATCACATACATAAGTAATGTAAATATTAGACGTAATACTTGCATTTTATTATATTGTAAAATAACTGATAGTACAGAAGAATAAAATAATTTAATTAAATTGTAGTCTAAACAGATTAGATGTATTTTTATACTGAAGTAGCAGTTATGTTTATTGATCGTTTAAATCTATATTAATTTCCGTGGTCGATTCGACTCGGCCGAAGTGTAAGTATGTATGAATCATTAGTGTTATTAAATGTTAAAAATACGTATTTGTATAATACAATATTACTTTATTAATAAATAGTTTAACTTACAATTTTCTATGTAATCTTTTATTTTTCAAATACGACGCCTGAAAAGTAGGTTTTTTCGGACAATCATCAAAATGAGCGGGTCCTCGCGCTTCCTTCGTATATCACTCAGTTCGTATGGCTTTCGATACCTACTTTAAATGTCGTAGCCGAAGAAGACCAAAAGGAGCCTCCTCGAGGACGATTTGAAGATAAAGACTGTTATGTGATACTTGCTAGAGTAATTCATTTTCCTGTGCAATTTGTAGAGGAAAGTAACCGAAAATGGAATGTAATCCCTCATATAAGTAGATACAATATTGAGATAATTTCAAAACTGAAGGAGCTCAGTCAACCACCTCACAAAAGTTAATACAAAAGATAAGAACATGGGCCTCATGAATGGATACCACAGTATTTTTAGGAATAACATTAGATTCTAAACTACAGTGGAGCCCACATATTGATAAATTGTCGAATAGACTTAGCTCTGCAGCATATGCCGTAATGAACTGACATAGATACTGCCAGATTGGTATACTTCAGTTACTTTCATAGTGTGATGTCGTATGGAATCCTATTATGGGGCTCAGACCAAATAAAAAGTATAGACGGAGTTTTGCCTAACAGAAAAGTGTAAAATAATATAATATTGTTAATAATATGACTTCCTACACAACCTACTCTAGAAATCAGTTTTATTAAAATAATATAATATTTACTAAGTACCTAGACTGCGGTGATGTGGTGTGCGTTAGGTCTTTACGTTCCCTCAAATGTAGTATAGTTGAGTTGAAATTAAAAAATCAACCCTTGCTGAGTTTCTTGCCGATTCTTGTCAGTACAAGATCTCCCGCCTTATTTTTGCGAACCGTTGGCTGTTTTCGATTTTCACAAGTACTATGTAACAGCCGAGACTGAATTGATTTTGATATTTATATTAATATCATTCGTTTTGTGGATGCATAATGATGACGCATACAAATACAAGCTGAATTCTGCGCTCCGCTTTTTGTTCTTCATTCCAAATCTGAATTCGGATGAAAGTTACGAGCGAAGCAACCATTATGTCGGCTCATCACTAATGTTGACGTATCAACCAAACATCGTTCCTTTACACGTAAAATAATAAACAAACTTACGATAACAATAAATTAAAATTAATTGAAAGTTGGATATTATAAGAAACACAAAACGATGTTTTATTTATTAATTTTCGATACTCAATTTACTTTTATTACGTCAGAGACATAATTTGAATGAATATCATAAACAAAATCCAAACATCGCGTTTGACATCTAGTATGATTTCAAGAACTAATTTTTATTTTTTAAATACTTCCTCGTTATATTGAAGCGTTCTGATTGGCATGTTTAAAATGCAAGCGTGTGCATATCTTTTGTATAACTGAACTAATATTTCGTCTGATGTAGTGCGGATGAAAAGTGGGGCAAGACTGGCGATGTCGGTTTTCGTACAAAGGATGCATGATCGCCATTCGAACCTCTTTTCTATGTTCTGTGGGACTTCTCTGTGTGAAATAAAACAGGGAGAAAAAAGCAGTACTCGCTGATCTCCCGCCTTAGTTTAACGAACTGTTGGCAAAGTTTTCGACTTTCACTAGTACTATGTAACAGACAAGACTGCATTGATTTTTATATTAATATCATTCGACGTTTGGATGTATAATGGCACATATGAAAATACTGCATATAAAAAAACAAGCTGAATTCAGTGCTTTGCCTTTTGTTCTTGATTCCATTCCTGAATTCGGACGAATCGAGTCAATTGAAGTTACGAGCAACCAATAAGTTGGCCCGTCACTACTAATGTTAACATATAAACCCTTTATCTTTCTCCATCCAAGCCAAAAATATTATAAAAAAAACTCTTTATCTTCATGTATAAACCAAACATTGTTCCTTTACACGTAACATAATAAATAACTTAAACTTACGATTCAAATAAATTAAAATTTATTTGAAAGTTAGATATTATAAGAAACACGAAACGATGTCATATTTATTAATTTTCGATACTCATTTTACTTTTATTACGTCAGAAACAAAATTTTAATGAATATCATAGACAAGATCCAAACATTGCTATTGTCATCTAGTTTGATTTCAAGAATATTTTTTTATTTTTAAATACTTCCTCATTAAAGGTGGATTTAAAGTGGATGAATGCACAAGTCGAGCCTGCCATACTATATAAAAATAAAATAAAATAAATAAAGTGGAGGAGAAGCAAGTAGAGGGGACTTTTTGTGGCTGTATGGATGAAAGTCCTTCACCTCCCCTGAAACAAATAAAAAAAAAAGCAAGGAGAGGGTGGGGATTATTTGGAAACAATTTTCAAATTCTTTGTATCCAATTTAATTTAATTTAGAAAATGAGTGAACTTAAATCTACCTATTATGATGACAATGAAATACTTATAAGATCAGCCAATAAGGAAGATATGAAAGCTGTCGCAGAAATGATTCAGGTAAAGGCTAGAATAACTAATTTTCTAGGATGTTTATATAAATACTACGGTCTTACCTATAGAAATAAGTTTTTAATTTATTATTCGAATTTGTTGGATATTCATTACAGGAACTTGCAGATTTTGAGAAAATGCCTCAAGGCCCTAAAATGTCAGTAAGAGGTTTGTAAAATTGTTTTATGTTTAATATTTATGATAACATTTGCATAGTTATTGTATAACGTTAACTACTTCCTTTTAATTGATACAGATTTGGAGCATGATGGATTTGAAGTTAGTCCACCAGCATTTCAGTGCAAGATAGCAGAGTTGAAGGGTGCTGTCACACAGCCGGTTATAGGATACGCGTTATATTTCCCCACATATTCCACATGGGAAGGCCGTTCTATGATGCTCGAAGATCTATATGTCAAAAACAGTGAGCGTCGCCATGGTGTTGGCAAAAGGCTATTCAATGCTGTTGCTAAGGTACTGTATAATTTAATTATTATTTCAGCCATGGAACATCCTTTAAGAACAGCACTAAGTAGCTAGTGGGTTCTCAAATTTTTATTAGATCTATTAGGTATATTCAGAAGGCTGTAATAAATATTTAAGAATATTGTTAAAGTATTGTAGTACCCATTGTTAGCCTGACTAGCATTGGTACAATTTATAAGAAATTGTATGTATTTTTCAACATTTTCCATAATAAATTAATATAAGATATATACAGTGCTCAAATCTGATATAGCTCTTGTCTTATAAAAATTGGAATGAAGGTACTTCAACACCCAAACCAAAGGCTGAGAATCTGACATATAGAAACAAACATACAAGCCACTACAGTCAATTATCATTATAATTTGGTTAAGTTGCACAATCATTAATTATACAATGATACCCTCGTTTTGTATTGCTCTTTTTTATCAGAGAAAATCATAATAGTCTGCTCAGTAGTTTTTGAGCTTGAAAATGGAAATCTCAAAATTAAATGGAGACTTGTTTTATATGAAGTAAGGATACTACCAACCTTTAATTATAATGCAAACTCTATTAGTGTAATGTATACATCTTCCAAATGAGGCCAATTCACACTTATTATTTTTTTACAGGAAGCATCTAAAACAGGATGTTCTCGTCTAGATTTCCATGTCCTGGAGTGGAACCCGGCTCGATCTTTCTATGAGAGTAAGGGTGCTGTAAACCTGACTGCCTCTGAGCAGTGGTGCTACTATCGTTTAACAGGAGAAGCGCTCAATAATGTTTCTAATGAAGGAGGGAAGTCATGAAAACAACATATGTGCTCAAATATATATATATATTCCATATTATAGTTACCATTTGTACATTATATTTCATGTTGACTGTTACAAATGTATTTGTACATTATATTTAATGTTGATTGTTAATATGTGCACTGATGGTACAAAACATGGTTGTTTAGTATAATAGTATAATTTCATCTAGCAGTTCTTTTAAACTATAAATAATATTTACAACTATTTAATAAATGCCATTTGTTTATCTTTAATCTACTTACATAAAACAAGTTATTATACATTTCACTCAAAAAAAGGGTCCCAGTAAACACTTGTTATTAATTTTGAAAACCTTTAGTATTATATTTAAAACATATGATTGCATGATTTATTTATGAATGTAAGTTAATTGTCATTCTAATGAAAATAAAAAATACTGGTTATGTTACTTATTTTTAATTTTATTTACATTATGGCAAGATCAAGTCATAAGTTCAAGTGTTGCTTCTCAAATGGACTGAATTTTTGGTTCCATGGTTTCTTAACTGTATAAGGCACTGAAAAACACAATTTTTAAAATAATAAGATTTTTTTATGTATATTTTGTTTTGGTCAGGATATATCACATCATATGAATTATCATTTAACATTATTATCTTTATAATTATTATAACGTGTCAAATTGTAAATGTGTATATTCCTATTATCCCAACAATATAAAAATCAGTTAATGTAAAGCATCACTAGAGCTAGAGATTCTGGAAATGATATCGCACAAATAATTGGACTATGTACATACATAAGAATGACTTCACTAAAAATACTAAAATATTTCACAGTCACTATAGTAATTGAATGTATATGTTAAAGAAATATTGTCTTTAAAATGATTCGTAACTCGTCATTCTGAGATTATTATCAACAACTAATGTAGTAAGTAGGTATGTAATGTCTGTAAATTTGTTTTTGAGGTAATATTTATGAAAAATTTTCGCTGAAGAAGCTGTAGAGAGCTATCTCTGAAAGATGCTATCTCAACTTCTATATTTATAATGCAACCCACAGGACTCAGAATATCGGTTATGTAAAATTCAGTAAAACTACTTTGGTGCGTCATAATAATAATATTTAAAACCTATGGATTTGAACAGTTTCAAGCACGGACACGTAAAATTTTGAAATACATGTAGGAAACGATGCGATACATTTCTTACTTTTCTACTTTAACTACGAATTATCAATAATACTTTCACAGTTTCAGTCTGCAGGCGTCCCTAACGTCACTCTAATACAGCCCGATCGTCGTTTCGGTTACATATATAATACAGACAGACAGCATAGCCTAACGATTAAAGCTAATATTTACACGATATATTTTAACACGGGGACGCCGGACGGCCGGCGTCAGAGTTCAATACGGCGGCGACCACTCTCGAGTCGTAGGTGAATACACTTCAACTTCTCTACTTTAAATTAGATTTAGGATTTCACATCAGCGTCACAGGAGTCGTGTCCGGGCAGTTGTCGCTCAGTGTTTTGACGGAGTGAGCGATGTCATTGTGTGAAGGCAGTCGGTGAGGTCGTGCGGCGGCGCGGAGTGCGTGCGTGTGTGTGTGTGGGCGCGTGCGCGTGTGCGTGCGCGCTACGTGGACGCCATGAGCTTGGCGTGCGCGGTCACGTTGCGCTGGTGCAGGAACCCGCTACCCTCCTCTTCCTCGCCGTTGCTCAGTCCGTACTGCGAATAGTGATATATGTTCTGTCATTATGATATGCCTAATATTGTCAAGAAATCAAGATGCTACCTAAATATTATCATTTTTTTTCTGAAAGGCTACCATACATGGAAGATGATCTCCGCGTAGTCCCCGAGTAGAATTTTAGGTATTGCGGGATATAAATAAATCGTTCTAGCATTCGGCATGCAAACCACAATTATATTCTTCTTCATAATAGTTGATAATCATCTCCAGGCAACTGCAGAAGTGCAGGCCTTCCCTTCGGATGGAATAAAAAGAGAGAACGGGCCGTAATCTACCTGGCGCCCCCGTTGCGAATCGGTGGGTGCCAAGGGCTGTAGATGCGACCGTAGAAGAACGGACGAAGTCGATATGATGAATTTTTGGTCACTCATCTTATAACTAGCCTTTGTCGTTTGAAAATTGCCGAGGGCACTGCGTCATCGAGCTTCTCGTCAAGAGTCAAGATCATTCTACTCTAAGCACTAGGCGCCTGTTTATACTATTATTTCCCAGGAATGCAGCGAGGGGCCATCTCGTCTCTGGGCTCGCCCTAAAGGGGCCGAATTCCTCAACACATCTCAGATCACCGTTGTTATATTTTCTAAATATTAAATAGATCATTTACCTGTAACGCGTGTAGGTAATGTTGCTGAGAGTGGTAGTGCCCGGTGGCGTGGGCGGGGTACCCGTCGTACCCGTTGGCTGCGCTGGGTTCGCTCTTGATGTTGAACAGCGCGGGGTTGGAGAGGAATGCGGGCGGGGAGGAAAGCCCGAGCGGGTACTGCGCGTGCGCGTGTGCGTGAGCGTGCGCGTGCGCGTGCGTCTGCCCGTGCGTGTGTGCGTGTGCGTGCGCGTGCGGGGACGAGTCGGGCGTCGCGTGCGTCTCGCGCGCTATCTTGCCAGTCCCATGGCCCGACATCGAAGATGCCAGCGGTAGTGGCACTTCCGTCACACTAGGTTTACTTTCTGTGAAAGTTGCAAGAAAATTATGTTAATACAGGTAATATAATTTGATAAATGTACGAGAGACGTTCGATGTATTCTCGGTATCAGCATGATTTTATAATCATCATCAGCCCTTTTACGTCCCCACTGCAGGGGCTCGGGCCTTCCTTATGGATGGTTAAGGAGGATGGGCCATGACCCTCCATGCTGGCCCAATGCGGATTAGAGGGTATTAACGACTGCAAATGCAGCCGGGACCAACGGCTAACGTGCCTTCCGAAGAACGGAGTAGCTCGAGATAGTAATATTTTGGTCACCCATCCCGTGACTGACCCTTGCGAAAGTTGCTTAACAACAACGATCACGGGCCGCGGCGCTTATCCTCTACGCCACCGAGCTACTTGATTTTATAATGAACTGGCAATTTAATTATTTGTACAGATAACGACACTATTTGAGGGTATACATAACAACTTTTATATATTTAGGGTTTGATCAATGTCAGAGTGGTGAGAAATTATATAGAGATTCAGAGATTATATAGAGACTCAGTAAATGAAACTTCAGAGCTTTCTCCATTTTCTATTTGAGTGTGTTTCAAATAAGATACACACTATATAAATCTTCGTGAATTATAACTAGCGGCTGTGGGTAGTTACATCGGTTTGATGTAACTACCCACAGCCCCATCACAACGAAGAAACATGTTAGAACAGGGTGATCATCATCAAAGTCCCTTACGTTTGCTGCGACCAACCTAATAGTTGATTGATGTGGAAGGGATTACAACAATCTAATTTATAAAAAGTAGTATTACGAGTAAGTAGTATTACTTAAATAAAAACCGATTTGTAATAGGTTTGAAATCGCTAGGTTGATATTGTGTCTAGCTATCGTTTGGCATTGCTTACCGTCTATACTGGGTGAACTGTGGCCGTCTTTCTTAGATGGTTCCTGTGTTGGTTTCGCACCGTTGCCAGATTTTTTCGGTTTCCGTTTCCTTGTTTGTATGCCATCTTTCCTCATAGCCAATGGTCTGAAATTAAAAAAAATCATAGTATTTTTAAGTAAAATAAAATCAGCTTACTTCACAATACTCTACATGACTTGTCCTCAGTGTCAAGTGTGTAAAACTAAGTGCGTATCCACCGTTGTGGATGGTTGTGGGTATGATAGGCATGTCCACAATCCTAATTAACATGTGCCGTCACATATTTTTGGCCTGTTCAGGGATTCCTTAAACAAAAATAGGTGCAATACGGTAAAAACATATATCTCTACTGTATGTGATTTAAAAAACTGCTATTAAAAATTATGCTAGTTGATTTTTTAACACTCGATCTATCGAAAGTGAGCCGTGTTATTAAAGTAAAGTCAAAATAATTTTTATTCAAATAGATTTTTTTAAAAGAACTTTTGATTCGTCGAACACTTTTTCCCTACGACTCGTTCAGGACATGTTTTGGCGGATAAGAAGAACGTGCAAGAAAATACGATAGTCTTATAATGATAACATAATCGTTTAATAATGGAAGCAAGATAATTTTGAGATATAATGAAATTAGAAGTAATCACCTATACAGTTGCTGGTCCATATTAAGTCTAAGCATTCTTATCTGTTATATAAACAGATATCTTATAATAAGCTGTTTTAATAAGTATTTTTATAGGAAATTTAAACTGCTTGATATCTAATTATTGTATTTTGCCTTGGACCTTATTGTAGAAACGCACACAAAGACCCCTGAATAAATTAATAACTTTTGTAGTCTAGTGACAGGCACCGTTAATTTATTTTTATTAAAATTGTTTCCATAACTTTTTTATAGAAAACAAATAATATTTTATTAGATCAATCTATTAAAATATTGACATATATTAGAACTTAATGAAGAAGAATGCTTCTCAATACATATACTATATATTATCATCATTATATCTATTAAAATTGACCTAATAGCTCTTTTCTGAAACAAAATAATCATTTGTATGTCGGCAGTATTTCCCCACAATAGGATTCCGTACGATATCACATTATGAAAGTAACTAAAGTATACTAATCTGGCAGCATCTATGTCAGTTAACCTACGTATCTTCATTACGGCATATGCTGACCTAAGTCTACTCGACAATTTATTAATATGTGGGCTCCACTGTAGTTTAGAATCTAATGTTATTCCCAAAAATACTGTGGTATCCACAACGCCCATGTTCTTATTTTTTATATTCACATTTAAATCTACTAGTTTAACTTCAGACAATACAAATTTTAGACATTTTGTTTTTCCTTCATTAAGGTGAAGATTATTTACATTAAACCAATGTTCTAATCGCCATTTAGTGGTAGCTTTCTTTTAATTTTAAACAAGGTGAAGTGTAATCGATTCATTGGGTTATTCTTGTAAAAATAGGTTTGCATTTGATGCTGCATGATTTTTTCTAAAATCTTACTAAACGCAGGTAGCACGGATATAGGTCTAAAGTTAGTAGGGTCAGATGTGCTACCCGATATATGTAAAGGAATAATTTTACTATATTACATGAGCTCAGGAAAAATACCGCAATAAGTACATTCATTAAATATATAAGTTTGGGATTATGATTGGAGCTATTGTCTCAATTACTCGGAAACGTCAATGGAATTACCTTATAAATCAGAAGTTTTGTTTTTCTTCAGCTGATGATCTGATTTATCTCAGATTATAGTAAATTAGTATACTAACAAGCAAATTTATGTATATAGATAGATACAATGCAATTAATTTTATAGATACAATATTTTCAACGCACTCTCCGATTTTCAGCGACCTAAAATGTAAAAGAGATATTCATCCTTAAATTATGTCGCTCACTGAATAGTACTGTATATTTAGAGAAACGCTCTCCGAAGTTATGAAAATTTAATATATTTATAAATATGAAAATCTTTTTTTAGCATAACAGTTAAATCGTTTGTATTATATTATTACTGTTTTTTATTTTTTCTTTAAATTATCTATGGGATGCCACCACAATGTTGTGGCGTTTTCTGGCGAGAGAGTGTGAGAGAGACCAATCAAAGAAAGCAACGCAGTCGGGATACGAACTTTACGTTACGAATTTATGAAATACCTTTCGCAGATTGCATTCGTTAATTAAGAAATAAGAATATTCATAATAGGTGGTGTTGGCTCCATTCGATTTGGACACGTGGAAAGATCGTCAGACGAAGTAATGATTGAACTGATATAGAAACAGAGAGTGTCTAATTACCTAGATAGATTTGAAAGTGATGGGTGTTGCGATACGACAGATAGCTAGGATATTGGATATGTGCGTACCTGTTGATGCCGTGCAGCTTATAGTAGAGTCCGCACGCGTTGCAGACCGGCTCGCCGTCGTTGTTCCGCCGCCACAGCGTGGTGGTGCGCGACCCGCAGTTGGTGCAGCACTGGCCGTGACGACGCGCCGCCGACTGCACACCACACCACAACACACGTCATAATGATACCCCACTAATGCTACACACACTCACATATACTCGTATAAACAATGCTTCCATTTAAATAAGGTTCTGGGAGTGTCATACACCATGAATGTACAAACAGTCATGCAGTCGAGTTGGGTGCAACAATTATTAAAAAACTCGTACTCCTGTACTACAAAGTAATAGCAGCAACAATAGACAGTCATAAGTACTCAATTTAAATAGGGTACTTCTTTTTGGATGTAGCAAGAAAAAAATATGTCTATGTTATAATTTAATTCCATATGTATCTAATAATATGTACTGAATAATAAATTGAGTGATGGTGGAATTTGGGAAGCAAACATGAGCCCATCTATTTAATGTTAACTTTATCTTTAAACATTAAAACAAGCTAACATATTAAAATTGAATAAAATACAATATATTATGTTAGTACATAAGCATCAATAAATTGGCTTGAAGGATTTATTAACAGAAATACCTATTTTGAATCTATCAAGTATTTTCTCGTCTACGAGTTCAGTTTACACTAAATATTTTCTACTTCGATTATATATACAAAGTATTTATTCACTTCAATAATATCTACGCTGTGACTTTTTAATTATCTTATCCGAGAAAATGTAGGTCTCTAATAACTTATTAAGATAATGAAAATATTACATTTTCTGAAAAATAAAAGCTTAGGTGAATGTATTTCAATATTAATAAAAAATAATATTAAAGAATAAAACTGACACTATTTATCGAATGACAGCTGGTAAATAAATCAGGTACGAACACATTTTCTATATAACTATGGATATATTTATGTAAAAGCTACATGTTATCACACCTATTTTATTATTTAAAACTGTTTATCAATGCAAATTTTAATTTTAATCTTTAGTACTTACCTACACTAAAAAGTACCACATTAAAAAGTCACGGTGTAGGGTGCAGTCATACATTTGTTGCGAAACCGACCACCGATGAGAAGATATAGAAAACAAAAGAGTGCAGCGATCCAACTTAACAATTGAAAATTAGTCAGCCCTTAATCTATATTTCAAAAGAGTAGGCATAGAGCGACCAGACAAGCTAAACAAACGCCATATTTAATTCATCCATTCGTATTCACCATCACCTCGCATACAATCTACATTAAATGTAAATGCTACTCGACAGCGGCCATAAATATCCAATACGCATGCTTATTTACAACACAATACTACGGCTACAGAGGTGGGGCGGGGTGGGGCGGGGTCGCCGCCCATTGGCCGCGCGCGCGTACCTATATCTCATTGACAGTGACAGCCGCCACGCACTCCGCGCCGCGGCCGCCGCACTCGCCGATCGCTATCCGCCCGACTCTCTTTACGTAACGCTATCATTATCTACTGGCTGAGTGGTCCCTGCCCGTGTGCGGTGCGGTGCATGCCCGGTCCGTTGGCCAATTTATCTCCGACTGGCGCGCGCCCAATCAACCGCCGCCGTCTCACGTTGTATCGGTAGATACAGTTAATCAACAAACTCTCATTACCACGCTCTCGTAACACCGGAATTACTGAATGATTAGTTATCTCTCGGCCAACGATGCTCAATTTGCTCGAAACTACACCGCTCGACTCAACTACCGAATTACACGGCCTGATAATCTATAGATGTATTAATTCTATTTAAAGAAGAAAAATAATGTCTTAAGAAAATCGCGGTGCGGAGTCAGTGCTCGAGCGACGGCAGCGCTAGATTAGAGTGGAGAGCGGTAGCGTGTAGTCTCCTATGTAACCCGCAAAGCGACAACAGAGTGAAAAAGAAGAAGGGAACAGTTAGCGCGTGCGTGCGGCAGAGTCCGCGGGAGCATGCACTAGTCTACACGCCACCGACTCACCTTCTTCATTCCGCGGGCCATGCCCTCCACACTCATCCACCTGTGCACGGAGCCGTCCTTATAGAAGCGCGAGAGCAGCTCGGCGTCGGCACCTGGAGCAGGGAGAGCGGTTACTAGGGCTTACTGACTCACCAGCCGCTTGGCAGGCCGCACGAGCGGCCGGTTCACGCCGTTGATGCGCGTGTAGAGGCCGCACGCGTTGCACAGGTAGTGGCCGGTCGCGTCCCTCCGCCACAGCGGCGTGTTGCTAGCGCCACAGTTCACGCACTCGCGCCCCGCACCATCCTCGCACTCCGCCACGCCATCTGCATGCCATCAGCCGCACATACGCGTTACACACACACACAGTCTAAACCTATTATATACCGCCGATTCTAAAAATATACGTATCTGTTTTTTACAAAATATTACATCTCCGTAGAAAACTTTTCAGGTATTGCGTATATTTAAACCTTAACGCGTTGAGGGTATACTCGACTTATATTGTGGTAACATGAGGTGCTGCTGTGTGTATGTACATAATTATAGGTATGAATAGCAAAAGAAGTTGCTGCGCAAAGAAAACTATAAAAACACGCTTAGAAATTTGTGGTTGAAAACTAGCCAAAGTATGTGTGTTGCAACCGAGGGGAGGGGAGCGTACCTTCTCATTTTCTTACTTCGTGTGTCCGGTAAAAATGTTACCACCAGTTTTAATAAGTTTATAAATTGAATGGCATTTAGATGTATAGTAAGAGCAAAGAACTGTTGTTTACATTTTAGGAATAACGAACAAGACGATATTGTTGCTTTGATTAACTGTTGACGTTATCAACAATCCATTTTTAAAAGCTGAGAACGATTGTTGTGTTCGTGCTGATAACAATTGTGGGCTACTGTTCACTGATTACATTACGACAGACCACCAGTAGGTATATTAATAGCTTCAATTCTCAAAATAACGTATTAGTACTGTTACTTTTTGTATAATCCTGTTACGGAACCTCGTAGCACCGTAGCACATATATTCAAAGTCAAAATATAGGTTTTTCCTCACATCATATGTTTCTGACTTTGTTTGTAGGAGGGTAATCTTCGGATACAAATCCAACCATGAACATTATTTCACCTACACCATCTTTCATGCTACATCATACACGGGTAACAAAGGTTATAATATATGCGGATAAAGCCCCGGAAAACGGCTAGTAATTAATAAACTAGTGGTTCCCTTAATTGTTGAAATTGAATCATAAAGTTTAGTTATTATTACAGTTTTTGTTACCAATTATGATTGTTGGCAAACAGTAAACGAAGTGTCAAAGACATTGTAGTGTGTGTAATATATTTCATTGGTAGTGTGTATAATTTACCACACCGTTTATTTCGTCTTTGGTTTCCGCATCCAAACTTTTTTTATTGATATTTGACATAATTTCTTTTTTATTATTCATTTTTCGTCATTTGAAATTTCACGATACGACGAACGCGATATGCTCTTTGTATGTCAGTTCGTAAAATATTCTTTCGGCAACAACACGATCATTATTGAAAATTAGTAAAATATTTTTAGTATGTACATTTTAAATCTATACTGTGATTTACAAGTTGTATTTCTGAAGTGAATGTGTATAAATTACCATCGTATTTTCTAGATAAAGCCAAGAAACGGATATGTAGTTGTTTCTACTACCCATCATATTTTTATAAATTTATACAAACAGTTTTTATATTATTTATGTAGACTGTAAATACACCAACTTATCAAGCCTAGTCAGCCGTTTCATTTTCCAACCAACAACTAGCATCGACCCCATCACAGTATTATTAGCACTCTTAACTCTCTTTCTATATAAATTTCAGTGCCAAGCATCTACATGTGTCTACACGCATAATTTTCGTTAGAAGGTTTTACAAAGTTTTTGCTTGACGTATTAATTATATTACAATAAAGTATTTTTATTATGTATAGAAATTAAAAAAAAATGATGTTAAGATTTGGAGTACACTTATTTAAAAAGGATACCAAAATTACGCGTCTTTTATTTTACGTAGGTCCTTAGATTTTATTCACACATTTGATATACATAATTATTTATACAATAGCTTTGTTCTAATTTAACGTTTAGATTAGGAGCTTTGTCGAACGAAGTCTCTAATGGTAACGTTCTACAATTGTATGTACATAAATCTGATGTTTTGCTGATCGGCTGACCACCGTCCGTTAGCGGCATAACAAGAATGAATATATTCTTGTAGCCTGTGTTGTACATTGTTCATACACTCCCATTAACTAACAGCTTGCGTAAAGCAGTCTCATTGTTATGCTGTTCCATTATGAGTCGCGTGTCTAGTAAACATAAAATATAGTTTTCAATAAAATATAGCACATTGACATGACATGCTCATAAATTATCCCCTTTGTAAACTGATTTTAATTATTATTTCATAAATTTCATTAAAATACACCTCAGTACAATTAGGATAAGGTTTAAAATTTATTAATTTATTCAAACATTTAGTTTTAATTAATCGTCATAGGAATTTGAAAATATTTTTAACTATGAATATGTGTATGAAATAACAAAATAAACTTGCTACTAGACGCAACATTTGTTTGTAAAATATGTTTTTACATTTAATACATTAATTCACAATTTTATATCCTATTATTATTTTTATCTTATACAAAAATAACTAAATAAAATAAGCACTCTCAGACTCGAGATGGGAATCATACCTTTCTTATAATCGATAGACAGTCGCCTGGTCCACGATATGTAATGGATACGAATACCTTTCTCTCACCTTTTAAGAAGTCTCACCTTTTAAGATTCGTGTATTTAATCGACTAATGAATACCAGTATATTGTTTATAAAGAGTATTAAATCAGTGGTTGGCAGTCATATTTATATTATTATTTGTAGCTGCTTCGAGGCTATCGGTAGGATTCCGGTAATCGTCCATTGGATGGGTTGCGGTCGGGGCTTACAGAAATAGCCGCAGATAACGCATCCACACTAATCGGACACGCTACAACTAAACCGAGAACGATTTAAATCCATAGATGTGCATCAAATTATAATAATATCTTGAATTCGTTCACGTTTATCTCACGATTTTCTTTGGTTGATAAAAAGCTTGTAAATACGATAATTTAAAAATAATAATTGTCTGTACTTTTTCAATTCTCTCAGTACAATGCCCCAACTCTATACATATAGATACAGACCGACAGTAAAACCTCATATTTCTTTAAATACGCAAATTTACTATTTTAACTGCCTTTAAAAAGGACGAAGGTCTCAATTCAACTGATGTTTTTTCTTGTATGTATGTCCGACCACCCCGCTCTGAGTAGCTCAGTGTGACTGGTCTACCTGATTAAATCCGCTGCGGACCACCTCGCGCGGATGGATGATCCTATTTCCCATCCTACTGATTCGTAATCAAGTGATGTTTGATTGCAAACCTTGCTAAATATTTAAACCTATCAAAATCTCTGCCTGTTACCAGACGCGTGTAGTCACGGGACTCTTTTATTGAATTGATAAAGGAACTTAAATTTCTTCAATTTGTCAATCATGTTTGTAATTTATTAAGAGTTATTTTACATTTTTTTAGGTCGGTTCTAGTTTTGTATAAAAACTTTTAAATTTCAGAACACTTTGAAGTAATTAATGAAATCAGTATTGCCGTAGATTATTGTTACTCTGTATGTCTGTGTATTGATAATCGCTTTTAGATACACCTTTGTGATAAAATCGAGTTGGAAAGTAGAGAAAAATCTGGTGGAAAATTACCGCGATAAACGAAGCCCCATTTTATATTATCGTCGACAGGATACTTGTTTGGAACAATAGTATATTGTATTAACTCGGAGCTACATCGAGCAATGATAACGACAGATTCAGTTAGTGTATTTCACAAATTAATTACCTATAGTTCGTTTCCGTCAACAGTAGACGCAGCTTGGCCGCATCTATGTATTTATATCGGTGCAACATAAAATAATAAAATTTTATCGGGCCCTTCACTAGGTACATACCTATAGGTATCACAGAACGATAGCCCTAATGAGCGATGATGAATAATCTGTTTGCAACGGTTCACTTATCGTTGTATAATTAAATTTGTCGATAGTAACAGTTAAACTTATCTTTCGTAAACGATATTTAAATTCTTTTGTTTGTCGTAGTGTGTTCTGTTGGTAACAAAGATGTATATCACTTATATTTTTGTGTGTGTACTAACAGTACATAGTATTTTTGCTTGGAGTACATAAACAAAAATTCTTGTTTCTAACATAATAACGACAGATCGACGTCGGCCTCAGAACATGGAGAGGTTTATGTGATGGTGTTATGAAGTCCCAAATGTGTGGTAGATTATCTGCGTGGTGCACTAGTCATATCAAATCGGCAGCTGCAGATATCGAGTACATCCACTAAGATCAATAAGATGAAACAACAAGAAATTATGACGAGGGTCATATCGTACACCAACGGTGACGTTGCCTCACAAAACCTCCACAAGTTCTAAGCCGATTTTACTACAGACTGCTGAATTTATCAATAGAGCGTCTCAGCTGCGGAACAGAGCCAGACTACATAATATGTTGCTAACTAAATATTCATCAGTTATAAAATTATATGAGAAGTAACCAAACGTTTAAACTAAAACGGTCGTAAATCATGTGATCGATCGCACTGACAATGTGTCATTATTATAATTGAACAAATAAGCAGATCTGTGAATCAGACCTTATCGCCGTCATGACGTCAGCTCTACACACACTTGCGTACGGTTATTGCGGCCTTTTCAATTTTTTGATCTGTCTTTACAATAGTAATTATAATCCTCCACAATTTTAACGAATGCCTCATATAACATTCCTCATATCCTTTGTTAGGATATAAGGTAACATTAGGTATTTGTTTATTTATTCGCTAATATATATTTTATTAATTATATTCTAACTTTTCCGGGGCATCGACCGCGTCCAGATGAATTTAAGCATGATCTTTTTAGAGTTTCGTGCCCAACATTAACATATTACAAACGTGATTATTTTTCTTGTTCCATAGATAATGGTAGATATGGAACCCTTCGTACAAGCTGCGCGAGTGCAACTTGCACTTAACGATTAAGTACAAGCTGCGCGAGTGCAACTTGTACTTAACGATTTTGTTATGGGTTTAATAGTTAATTTTTTTTATGACAAAATGATTTTGGGAAAAATACATACAATTCAATAATACGGTATAATCAAAATCCTTGCGATTTTTCTTGAACGATACAAAGTAAGCTTTAAGTTCAAACGTTTTTAATTACTTGTTGCAATTAATATTACTAGTAAATATGTGAGGCTGCCACAATTAGTCAATAAGTAATTAAGAATTCCTTTATTCGATCATCAGCTCTCTTTAGCTATCTCACTAAAAGGAAAGATGTAGGGCTCGAGTGGATATATTGTGATATCTTGTAAGTTTATATCGGTACTATTTTTCTTATAAAGCGAAACATTAGGTTTATTTCATTTTTATTAATTATTTTATTAGGTTTATTAATTTCGTTTACTATTGCGTTTGATAATGAACCCCTTAAAATATTAAATATTATCAATAATGGTAGAATAGCTTGTTTATAGACTGAGTTACATTTAATTAAATGTCATAATTCTAGTTATAATATCAGGTAAACATAAAACTTAGCCAATCGTTAACCGATAATTTTGCAACAGTCTTTAAATATGAATATTGATGAACGTTTAATTCATATAATCAAATCATGAAAATGTTTTGTCATTTGTCAATTATAAAAGAAATTGCCCTTATCACTTTATAAGTAATAACATTACGTTCGAAATAAAAAATATTGTTAATATAAATTATTTTGAAATCGATGTTGTTGATATTTCGTAACACAAATCTAAGCTAGAAAAGCCTACAAAAATTATATTTTTGTAGCTCAATCAAAAGTTACACTAAAGGTTACTTTTATTCGTATTGTCCTTTTTAAATTTTGATCAATAGGTAATCATTTTTATAGTTCTTAGATGCTACCAATTTTAATACTTAGAATATCTTTGAGAACCCATGATGACTCACCGTATGCCGGAGGGCGCTGCAACGCATCGTAGGGCGCGCACCACGAGCCCATCACCACGTTCTGCGAGTAGAGGCCGCCGCCCACGCTGCCCACGCCGCCCACGCCCACGCCCACGCCGCCCACGCTGCCGCCACCTGCGCGCACAACACTATATGTACAAAATACCTCAACATACACGCGCAGCAGCCGAAACACACAAAATAATCACACGAGTTGACACAACTATTAAGTTTCTGGAGAGGGTTCAGCGATTGCGTCGGACCTGCATTAGTCTGCAGGTTCTGCAGCCAATTGGAGAGCAGCGGTATAGTGTACATGACTTGTGTTTGTTGTGTCAGTTGACTGTGCGATGGTCGGTGAGAGGTCGGGCCGCGACTGAGCGCGCGAGGAGGCCGCGCGCCGCCCGCGTGCCGCCGCCGCCGCCGCCGCCGTCGCGTTATCGCCGCTGACGCAGTGCATGTCGCAGGCTTGCTGCAGGACACTTGTTGTTTTCCTTAACTCTGCTGAATAATGACGTCGACGCCGGTATCATGGGATGATTGACAATCGAGTTTCCTGTAATTGCTTATCGGCCACCGTTTAACTGTTCATCTTCTAATGGTGCGTCGTACCGCCGTTTATTTCATCCTAGCTTTTTGTCTTTGATATTCAACATCATTTTTTTTATTGTTCACTTATCGCAATTAAAATTTTTGAGTAATCCAAGTAATCCAATCCTCTTTAATGTCAGTTCGTGGAAATTCGTCGATTTAGAAACATTAAACATACTTAATACCAATCAACAGCAATTTGTTGTAAAATTGTATACTACAACAAATCAAATATTATAAAGTTAAATTACTAACCCATCCGAAGAAAAGGGTTTCTTTGTTTACCATTTATTAAATCAAGTTCTCAAGCTAAGTCAGCCTATTATTTATTCATCTAAGCATCGAACCCGTTACAACCTTTGTAAACTAAACTAATTCTCAATTGTAATCTAGTTATATGGTGAAATAAATTAGAGAGGAACATAAAAAATGACTCCAGAAAATTTCGTAATTTAATACAATAATAATAAAATATATAATTTATTCAGAACAAGTCCAATGACTATGCAACTCCACTACAGCAGTCAACGTAGATGAGATAAAACACAGTTGCCAACAAGAATATTTAAACTGTGAATATTATTATAATTTAATAGAAAAGTATCAAAGCGGCATTCACTCACGAGCATGACACTTGAACCAGCCATCGCTTCACTGTCATATCTTTGCGAAAGTTATATCGACATAACTGCAGAGATTTATAGGTAATATATATTATACCTACATAACATTTTCAAACAATAATTATGTTACTCAAGTAATAAACAATATTTTTGTAGTTTTCTTTCCTTATTTCCACCAACAAATAACAGTTTTAATGTGGTTGGCTGACGTCTAACAATGTAACCAAACAGTTCGGCGATTGTTCTACATATATTATGGCATCATTTCAGGAGATACCTTAAAATTAACTGTATGACTTTTCCTCTAAGTTTGTTTTCATATTCGGTATTGTCATATCATTATTAGATATATTGTTACAGGAAAATAAACAATCAGGGCGATGGGACCACGGGTGTTACACCGTTTTCCTCGTGCGTTGGCCGATGGTTTGGTAAGCCCCAGTAATGGTGCTATCGATTCCTCCCGTGTCATGACACAGTGTTAGTGCTTACGTTTATACAACGTGTCCCAAAAATCAACGATAAGCGGGTGCCAAGAGGTAGACCTGCTCATGTGTACTTATGGAAAAATAAGAAAAAAATTATATCTTATTAATCTTTTTTATTATAAAATAAAATTCGAAAATTTTCGAAAGAGTTGTAGCGAATAGTAGTGCTACTTAGATATCCGATACCAAAAAAAGATTGAACATAATTGAGAAGTTGTGGTCGTGGTAGTTGAAAATATCATAAAAGGTGTATATTTTCGAAGATTTTCGAATTTAATTTTATAATAAAAAAGATAAGATATAATTTTTTTCTTATTTTTCCATAAGTATACATGAGCAAGGGTACCTCTCGGCGCCCGCTTATCGTTGAATTTTGGGACACGTTGTATATATTACAGATCTCACAGAAGAACTTCTCACCAAACTGGAGCATCTGCAGAATGATTGCATTAGATTTATTTTCAATCTTCGAAAATATGACCATGTGTCCTATTTCCGTTTAAAGTTAAATTGGCATCCTATTCGCCGGCGCAGGGACTTGCATACTCTCACGGTTCTTTACTCTATACTTTTCCTCCCATCATCTCCACCATATATTAAACGATCATTCTCTTTTCGCTCCTCTTCATCACAATGTACATTACGTTCCTCTTCGAACCTCACTCTCGAAATCCCTCGTCACTATACAGATTTCTAATTCTTATTCTTTTGCTGTGCGTCTGTGAAATTCTCTTCCAGAGGGTATCAGGAGGGCTCGATCCTTGGGATCCTTTAGCGATGAAGTTAGAAATTATTTCCTTTCCACATCTTAAAACTATTTTCATATTATTCTTTCACTATTAAACTGTTTAATTCATTTCATATGTATACATTTATTTTTTGTTTATTATAATATATTAAAATAATTTATTTATCCTTCTCTATATGGCACCCACTCCCCATAGTATCTTTATTTGTTATCCATTTTCACCATAGGTTGCCTGGAAGAAATTGGTGTTTAGCATAAGGCCGCCATTTGTTTACTCAATCTCTTAGATAATAAGCTTTTGTAAACAATGTGACTTTCATATTGAGTGCAATAAAGTATTTTATTATTATTATTATGGATGCGTGTCGCGTCCTGCCTCATCATGGTGTCGGTCAACATTGGTTTAAGAACAATAAATTGATTTGTGATCTCACTTTAACTCGGGACTTAGTCGTATTGAAATCCTGCAAACTCCGTAGAAGCCACAGCAATATTTGGGTAATATCACACAGATAATGCAGTAACTGAGTGACTTTCCGGATTTCCGATATAAGTTAATGTTTTTTAAATTATTGTAAAGTCGTTTTTACCACAAAATATCACATGTTCCCAATTGATTTCTGCTCTCAATCTATTGAAGTTTGAAATCAAGTGGCGAGACAGTCCTGTACAGCATGACATACTGTTCACTGTACATTATTGTCTTGCTTAGCTGACTGATTCGATTAAGGTCAATCAGAATTGTCGGGACACGGCCGGGTTACACACTAGAGGCAGAATAAGGTTTGAAATTATTTATTGTTACATTTGCGCCTGCTCTAACATCAAGCACCTTATTAATAATTACAACACCTTATAATTAATAATTAATAAATCCCCAACTCATAACCCCAGCCGCTGGCGGGTTATATCCAGGCTACAATGTTCGCTACGGGACAGTGTTGGTTATTCAATGACAAACAGGCTTTAATGAATTGGAAAAAAATTGTTATCAAAGCATAAACCCATACATGAAACTTTTAATTAAACAATAATTTGTCTCAACGTGTTGACAAGTACCTATTTTAATAAAAATCTATTGTATAATTTATGGTATTTAGTAGGAGAAACAATTAAATGTACTATTTTCAACGATAAATAACTCAAACGAAGGAGATTTTTTTTTAATGTACACACTTTTTATTTATTTATTTAGTACTTCCACATAACGTAACTAAAACATGCACTTATTACATAATCTAAATAAAAAAAATTAGGGCATTTAGAACATAAGCAGTCAAAATTTCGAAAATATAAATAAATTAATTTAAAAGAATAGATTAAAATTATACCTATAATATGTTATTAGCTAATATTCAAATAAAATTTGATTGATGTATTAAATAAAATGAAATAAAAATAACAAAAATAAAACTAAAATCAATCGAGTGGTCGATGATTATTATCTTTGGTCCAAGCGGAGAATTTTCAATTTGAATTTATTCAAACTGTCACTCAAAATAAAAAATAAGTAATTGCAGTCGATACAAATCCATTTCTAATAAAAGAACTTAAATTATAAATAAATGAAACGTAAACACTCACGTCTAAACTAAACCATTTGACTCCTTAAATGCCTAGGTGTCAACTAATTCCATAAGTTTCTTACAAACATTCCACGTATTTTAATAAGCTCGTCACGTCAGCTGGCGGGTAGTCAAAGCAATTTTTTTGACACATAAATTAGGGTTAGTTGAACTTGTGGACATTTACAAATACCATACCTATTTATATGACATACCATGGAGGCGTTCCTCCCTCGCATGTTACTATGAGTATGCCGCTAATAAGCGAATGCGGTATTTTAGTGGTATCACAGGCAATGCAGTATAACCGAGCCATAAAATATCAGTGGAAAAGAAAACCGCGTGTAAAAGTTATTTTTATTAAATATGTATCGTTCTAATCTATAAAGGGCTCTCCGTTGATTCTAAATTATTAACGAAAGATAGACATTACGATAAGTGGAATATTACAACATAGATAAGCAATTACGAGTTATCCACTTCTCTCAACTTGTATGTAAGACTGTATCGATAAGTTATTTAATCGATACCGTAATATGAGTAAAATCTAAACCGGAGTTTATCAGAGAATCGATGTTCAAACAGTTGACTGATTATTTCTTAACATCAAACTATGAATTAAGAACCAATGGTATAAGAGTAAATCTATACGACAAAATGCCTTCTTTTGTGTATTCTTTTATAGGCTATGTGCACAACTGCAGCAACATCTAGTTTCCTCGACTTTGGCGACTTGGATGCTTTGAAATTCATCGTGTTATTTGAGACAAAACATTAAAATCAACATTTATTATATTATATTATAAAACTACTACGATTTGGGTGGACAGAGGATTGTAAAATTATTTTTAATCATTCAAATTAAACGTAACCTAATTTTATTTTAAAGATGTGTTTTATTTAGGTTATGTCAGAATTTGTTCAGCTCATTTTTAGTTGCGATTTTACTTTAAAACAAGAAATTAAAGCGCGTTTGACGATTTCATTAAATAATAGTAAACATATACAATTATTCCTGTATCGTTAAATATAAATGAAATGTATGATTTCGAGATCAAAATGAGTATTATTCTGAGTCCGGTTTGTATCACTCACAATATAAAATAAAAAATTGAAAGTAGGTAATCAATCTCCGTTGGCACTCATAAATCCGACTGAGTTATTTTAATACTAGCTTCCGCCAGCGGCTTCGCCCGTGTGGGCCCTCGGGAAATGTTTAGTGGGATAAAAAATATATAACAATACCAAATTTCATCAAAATCCGTTCAGTAGTTTCGGCGTGATTGACCGACAAACATCCAAACAAAGAAACTTTCACATTTATAATATTAATAGGATTAATTCGATTGCAGCCGAATACAACGCGACTAGAGTACACCTAAGTGATAAATGCAAATATAAACATTATTTTAGTAATTATTATACTGTAATAATAGTATGTATGAGTACTTAATAATGATAATAATAACAAAAGTAATAAATCAGAACGTTATTTTACTTTATAGTATGTAACTAGCTTTCCGCCAGCAGCTTCGCATGCGTGAGTATACATAAAAAACTTCCTTTTAAATCACCCTCTCTATGAAAAAAACCGCATCAAAATCCGTTGCGTAGTTTTAAAGATTTAAGCATACGTAGGGATATAAGGACAGAGAGCGACTTTGTTTTATACTTTGTAGTGATGTAAATTACGGTGAAAATATATGTGTTGTGAATGAAGTGCCGACAAAATAAAATATTATCATTAAGAAAGTTTACAAATATACTAATACCTATACAAATATTCGGTTTAATATAAAATAAAATAAAATGTTTTAGTTTTTTGTATCATAATTATTAAGTTTTCACATAATTCAGGAGAATGAAATACAAGTATATGTGCTTGTCCTTTGTTCTTACTTGAAATAACGAGTAAACAGAAGACGAGAAATATGGAGTCTTTATGAAATTTGGAAACATTGAATTATATAATTAATGATTTACTGAATGTTTACCTATGATTTGACATATTTATATTTGAGTCTTTTAATGATTTAGTTATAAAACCATAGATTTTACAATGCCACTTTACTATAATGAGAAATGGACTATAATGAATTAACGACTTAGGGAAAACAGTTTTATATAATATTTTTTTATATATGTCTATTATATTTTATATATGTCTATAGTATATGTTCTTATGCCATAACCGGATGATTATATTTCTTGCTTTTTAGATTTAATATTGTAGAATATTATACCCGCGTGTAACTTACTCTAAGTATGTACAGTAAGAATTAAAATATTTGGCAATAAAACGGCGACGGTGGCGGTACTTATCGACGGCAACCATAGTTAATCGTAAACATTATAACTTCAGTGTAGAAAATAATAAATCATAATATATCAAAATAAAAAAGAACAATTTATTTAAAATCTTCCAAACATGGCACAATTTCAAATCATTCTCTCATTCATTTAATCGCTTCCGTATTAAGAAATGTCAAACATACGCGTCACTTAGTTAGTTTGTAAGTTTTGATATCATCTGAATTAATAATTCAAATTTATTATTTTAGATGGTTACAGTTTAAGTGAACGTGTTATTTATTTTTATGAACTTATTATAGTTGTATAAACTAGTGTATATATGTAGTTAAAACAGCTTGAGCTAGCGATTCTTTTGTTTTCTTGTGATTTGTGATTGACAGTTGTTTGTTTACTACTTATCTCAAGTTAGAAAAAATGGCAAAGCTCGCAATGTTTTTACTTTTGGCCACCATGAGCGCTGCGATAGATTGCGTTACCTCCACCTGCCTTCGTACCCAGGAGCAGTTTCAAATGATTTACAAGAAAAATATTTCTGTCTATGGTTTAAATGTCTAGAATCCGAACTATCGAAGTAGTGGTCGGGCAAATGTAAAAAATTTAAGGAGCAAAAGTAAATCTGTTCAATCATAAAAAAGATTTTTTATAAAAAAATACACATTATAAATGCTTATATTTTATATCCGACTAGAATTTTACTTTTCATGTGTTTAAAATCGCAAGTTCATACTGGGGGACCGGGCCCTGTTAAAGTAGTTGTAGTTTGGTGAGATGGTTTTAATCCCACCGAGTGTCATATTTTTTTCTTATCCTGTATTAGTGAGAGTAGCTCGATGGCGTGGTGGTTAGGCGTTGCGGCCCACGAACGTTGTTAAGCTACTTTCAAAGGGTCGGTCACGAGATGGGTGACGAAAACTTATTATCTCGAGTTACTCCGGGTATCGGAAGGCATGTTAAGCCGTTGGAAAGAAAGGCCTAAGCCTAAGAGACGAAAAGGGCTGATGCTGATGATTTGTTAGTGTACCCGCAATAGTATGGACACACGCGCATGTCATGCGTGGATAAATGTTACATATACATTATAAAGTTATTAATAAATTACTTTGAATTCATGTGTACGACATAGCAATGCGATTTTTTTCCCAAACTCTCTATTTCCTGACGTACTTTTCTATGGTTGTGTTTACATTTTTACTTTGTTCAACATAAGGCAAACATTAAAATAAAGGGAAACCAGACTGCCCTCTAAAAACTTCAAGTTTGGCCAACTTCAAATAATATTTATGATGTTGCTCTCTTATTTTTAATAACAACTTATTTTGCCATTGTTTCTTAGCAGAAAACCAACTGAAAGATAATAGTTTTTTCTTAATTCTTTTCTCTAAATTCTTGGATGCCGTGTACTTAAACACGTCTAGCAGGGAATATTGACTTTAAATTTTATTATATTCACATTGGACTGAAGAGAATTATATTCATAGATGAGTTAAGACACCGTCAATTTCGTATCAGTAGTTACGAGCAAGTTGAAGGTACTGCGGGTGTGCGTCACTGCTCAACAAAAACAAATGCCTATTAGTAATTCATTCATTGAAATCCCAACAAATTAATAAACTTATCCTGGTATAAATATTTTCGCTCGTATAATTTACCTTAAGTATTTTGGTACTACTACCACAATTTATATAATTAACAATACTGCAGGTAATATATTCGTTCACTAAGCATTGTTTGTTTCCTTTATTAACATCGCTAAAGGAAATTAGTATCAGTACAAAAGTATAATTGATTCCGTAGAATAATTTATCCTGTTGGACAGGTGTATCAAAATTTATTGTCTTACACGTTAAGCCACTAATTTTGGTCACCAGCATATCTACCAATCGCATTTAATTAGACTGGTAAATTACACCGCTTTCTCTCCATTGGCAAACATATATGATCCAATCGATAGGTAAAACCTGAACATCAATAGAGTTAGTTTACCGTAGGAGTCGTGGTGCGCGTGGTGGTGATGCCACACGTTCTGGTGCGGTGCGAAGTGCGCGTACTGCTGCAGGCGGCCGCCGCCCGCCACGTACCCGAGCCCGTACCCGTCGCCCGCGCACTCGCCGCCGCCGCCGCCGCCGTACGCGCCGCCACCGCCGCCGCCGCCGAACATAGCACTCACTGTACGCGCTCGATGTACTCACCGCACTCGACTCACTAACCACTATGCTCACTTCCACTCAGTTTTCACTGTTAGAACATTGTCTTGTATTGACCTGTAACAAAAGTTTAATTCTGAGAAACGTATTTTCCATTATTTTGTCTATCACTATCAAACAATACGTATACAAACATTTGTCCCAATTGGAAAGTAATTAGATGTTACCATTAAATGTTATTTCACTTGACGGTTATTTCTAGGTTGCGGAAACTAGCGACTGTTACAACTGATACAAATAGCAGCAACTTATAGTGGTAAATCAGTATACTTTTAATTAGTTTTTGTAAATAGTTCTCAATCAGTGAAGGATTCTGAATTGAGGAAAGTACAAAATGTCAACTGATTATTCTCAACTTTTTACTTTTCATAAAGCAAACAGTTGTAGTTTTTTATTAAACTGCTATCAACTGATTATTAAAAAAAATCAGAATCAAATACCTGTTTAGACGTGCTTAACTTTAAATACTCAATTCAGAAACTGGGAGTATAAGTTTCAAATAGAATAGCTGAGTTTGTAATTTCTTGATTACATGAATTATTCAGTAATTAGAGTTATTGTTTTACAATTACCGAAATTAAATTACATATGTTTTCAATTATGATTTAATACCTATCAGTTTTTTAAGCAGTAAAACATGAGTTTGAAATAATAACTGATATTTAGACGATACATTTAATAGTTATGAAAAATCAAACTATGAGTCAAATGAATATCATAAAATGTGTGTATTAAATAAATATATAATCTGCGTTAAACGATTTGTCGTAGGTATGGTGCGATCAGCGAGTAGGTATTATCGGTGACATACCGCGGGGAACAGCGCGCGAGCACTGGAGATACAACACGTACCACTAGCACAATGATAACTATATCCTATTCCCTTACCATGAAGTTCTAGTTTTGCAAAACAAATTTTAACAGAGGAGTGATCTAATTTCCGTTTCAGTGGCACGTTATCGAACTGTGTCAATCGAAGGTTTTGTCAAAGTGTGTCAAACGTTATTTACATATGTTGAAACTTGTGTCGAAAATCAACTGTAGCGGTAATCAGTCTCCGACAACGGAATATACGTGCGAATATTGCTAAATGTATTAGTGAGGTAAGACCCGCGGCTCTACCGCTGTAGCTCTGATTAATATGTCAAAATTAAGCTGACTGGTCTTTCAGAGCTTCATCTTAACAGATCAATCAGGCTTCAGTTACGCAGTAGAGTCGAATATGCCAAATTACTTTGTCTTACTGAAAAAAGAGTTGTCAAGGATTGATTATATTATCCATCCGTCAAAAACTGATAAGTGCTGATCGTATTAGTCAGTCTTTTTCTCGATTAATATTTATTACGCAAATTAATCATTGTGGTAATCGTCTTCTTTAACAAAGGAAAAATTGACCTAATTTGATAGTCGCATGATTACAAGAACTGTCCTACGAGGATAACTATATGGTAAATAACAATTATATGTTGTGTATAGTATAAAACCACAAGACTTTTTCACAGTATTAAATGAATGTTTCTTTATGAGATCATATTGCCTATTTCTGCGATGTTTTGTCGAGTAACAAATATTCGGTTTCAAAATACTTAATCTGATTACAGTTTGGTGTAAAAAGTACTTTATCAGGTTACCAAATATGCCGTGTTGTTCACTAAGGTTTTTGAAATCAACCTCAGCGCATCCTCAATGTGAGCCATCGACGTGCCACTTCTGTCCTTCGCTTTAGATTTTCTTTCTTTCTGATCAGCATTGCCTCTTCCTTCCTTTTTTTACTGATCTCTCTGTCTCTTTTTTACTAGGACTAAGGTCTCCTGGAATGCAACTCGAAGTTCCGAAGAGAGATACCTCCACAATACCCAGATTCGAGACAATGTAGAAAAGTGTGTGTGTAAAACAATGTCAGCGGACGTGTAGGTACACTATCAATGTCAATAAAAATACATTAATAATATTTTTCCGATTCCGTTTCACGTATCTGGTTTCGAGTAATTAGTCTGCGAGATATGATCGCTGGTGTTTCTTTATCTATCTAGATTTATTGGTGTTATTTACGGCGCGGGAGTGCGTTACGGGACAGATGTGGCGGCAGACGAAATTTGTAGCTATTAGTGGCGTCAGTAAAACGCGCACGCGCAAAAAACTCACACAACATATGTTAGATATATCAGTAAGTATATCCACTACAAGTACTGATCATGGTTAAAGTAAATGATAATTTAAATTATTAATGTACCTTTAATTCTCATATTTAGGATGGTTAAAAAAATACTTTTATAAATTTTGCATTCTAGAAGTTTATTGTGAGATTGGTAAAGTTAATCTAGTAGTTTTGTCATTTAATTGAATGTGTAATACCTATGTATATATTTTGTATTTGATTGAAAATACTTAGATTTTTGTAGAATAGTGTTTTGTAACGTAATTAGAATAAGCCATTCTTTAATATTGAATGTTGCCCCGACAATAGTATGTATGACTAGTGGACGCCCGCGACTTCGTCCGCGTGGAAGTCGGTATCCCGTGGGAGTGAGAAGTTTTCCCAGTAAAAAGTACCCTATGTGTTATTCTGATGTATAACCTATATTGCTGTAAAGTTTTATCCAAATCCGTCCAGTAGTTTTTTCGTGAAAGAGTAACAAACATCCATACATCCATACTTACAAACTTTCGCCTTTATAATATTAATAGGATAGTACTTGGTGTGTACAGCCGTGGCCCGGCCATTAGCCGCCACAGACAAGCTTTTAACCCGTGGACTGGCAGTAAATGAATCTCCCCCAACACTGATAAACCAATACAAGTACTTATAGCGTGCACACTTCCTAATTTAATCGATCTCAAAGTATCACTAAAATGTAATCTATTTTTACATTCTTAAATAGTATAATGTTTGTTAATACGCAAGCTGCAGCGTTGTAAATCACAGTGATGGTACGCGAACTATTCGCGGCACCCTTCACGTGATGCCTGCTCGGGAATGCCGTTAATGAGTCGCGCCCTTGTATTACCTGTGAGTATAGATACAGATCTTCAAGAATGTAATCTCACCCCCCAATTTTGAAGCTAGAGTCACATTTCGTAATAAAAGTCATTTGAACAGTTCCATATCTCTTTTCTCTTTTTCATATTCGTTCATAAACAATAACTTATCATTCTTTATGATCAATAAATAAAATACACGAGCCAGTGATTCATATTTTATGGTAGCTAATGAAAGACGACATTATATAATTTAAATATACTTAGGCACAGACAAATAAACGCCTAGGTAAGGCAAGTAAAACCTTTAATTAGAACAGATCAGAATTAAGTAAAAAAATGGCATCCGATCAAAGAAAAGGTCAATTTGCTTAAGTATTCGTCTTTACTGTACGTACTTCTCTGTATGTTATTACATAAGCTATGAAGACAATAATCAAAATTGAAGAAAATCTGCATTATTATAATAACGTTAATGGTGTGCCGTATCGCATACAGCAGTCTGGACTTTGTTGGGTATTGAGAAGGCGAGCACGTTCCACATTCCCGTTTTGCTAACCACGACTTGTCGGTTAACAAAAGACTTTATTGCGATAGCACTAAGATATATTATAGACGGTGGAGTGGCGCGCGTGCGCCGCGGCGGCTGATTTACGCGATACATTAGCGCGCGAGCAGCCCGCACCTCAATTTATGGCTGGCACCGAAAAATTATACACCGGACTTTATACTAAGGGACGATAAAACTCCGCACTCAGACCCGATATTAACACTGACCTGTCTCTTGTTCTTGTAATATTTTACAAAGCTATTATCACAATGCGGAGTGCAATCTGGAGTCGAACTTTTTACGATATTTCTTCTTCATTACTTTACAAAGGGACAAATGAAAGCATTATCTTTAATTATAATATTATAAAGAGGAAAGATTTGATCGGTTGCATTGAATATGCCAACTGTTCTGCACCGATTATAAAAATTCTTTCATGTACGGAATCTATATCATACGCGAGTGACATGCAATTTGCTATAATTTACGAGGTTCACCCTCGTCGCAAGAAAACAGCTATTAAAATAAATAAGAATAGGTAGGAAGCCAAATAGGCACACAGAGGTAAACTAATTTCTATATTTTCTATTTATTATTATAATAACATCGTAACATTATTCAGACGGTCCACGCTCTACTACTTTTTGCTTATATTTACACGTAATGTACAGTAGGTAGAGTCCATGTAGAGTCTGACAAAATCACGTTCGATAAATATTGTTAATACTCCGCCAATGTCACCGAGTATCGACATTTGTGTTACTCAATGACACAACAAGACATATTGCCTGTCACTCGGCTACATTGAGGGGAACACTTAAATATGTATTTGTGATTTGCCGGGACTTGTGAATAGTACACTCACCAGCATGACAGGTTATTTCTCCACTTGATTTTAAACCTTAATGTAATGAGGGTAGTGTTTCAAATTAATATTGTGTTAACGTGAGGTGGAGCCGTGTGTACAATTATAATGTGGTTGCAAGTACGCAAAGGGGTTCAAATGCCTACCTGTACAAGACGGGGAGTACTCAAAAAGTAGTGGAATGACAAAAGACCTCCTATCCTTATAAGATCCTATCCTTCCACCGAAAGACTGATTAACACCGAAAGACTGACCTGTTTCTGCAATATTTCTAATTCAAACTATTTCCCTTGAAAAATAAATATGCTTTTAACTTCGGACATAAATAACATGCACAATAATAGCCAGGACTGGCGTATAAGGTAGAATGACCAACTAATTCGAACCCAACTTGTCAAATACCATCCAGTGGAACAACAGTAGTGTGAACAGGCGCATTGTCATAGTGAAACAAAATGAGTTTATTAAGATTATTTTGCATTTTTTCTTTAAATCTTGTATCAGCTTACTTATTAAAGCTGCCTAGTAAATGCTTGTCACCGTATGAGCTTTCTAAAGAA